TAGTTAGGATTTACTACACACCCGTCGCATCCCCCATCGAGATCAATAGTTCGGATTGCTGGCCGTGTTTCTTTCAATCTCATGTTCTTTTCATCCTGATTATATAGAGCGATATCTTTTATAAGAGAAACCATAAGAGAAAATGAATTGTTATAAATCAAGTGCGTGCCGAACCAATTAAGAACTTAGAACAAATTGTTACATGTTATCTGATACTTCATTTTTATTGGATTGATCAATTTTTCCTGATGATTTGTCAGATACTTATAACAATATCTTGCGATACTCCACTTCTACATACTTTGTCTCATATATCTGATAAATAAATAAAAGAATAAAAAGATTTAATTGTTCGCAGTTATACAAAATCTTGTTCATTGTAACTATCTTGTTCATTGTAACAAAAACGATGACAGGAAACTCTAAAAAAAAATCACGTCATGCAAATTCACATATATTCGACTAGGCGAACAGTATCCATCAACACGGCAATTTCACGCGCTTGCATCCAACGAGAAATCGATCGGCCGCTACGACATCATACGCCGCTGCACAATGGGAAACAAATTACGAAATTACCATACTAAGCGACTTCCGGTTCCCAGCACAATGGCGTAACCAAACCGTGGAACAGATTGAACGGTGCAAGCACGATCGCGGGAGACCGATCGGAGGCCGGTCGGATACATCATTTGCATCCGTCGAAAAGCGCATTATGATTCCAATCCGGCGTTGCGGTATTTCCGTACTGATGTTTTAACAAACGCCTGTTTTCGGCCGAGCGGAAAAGATAGTTGCTGTACATTGTATGTTCGACCTCGTTCCACGCCACACAATTGCACGAGTAACTATGAAAGCAGCTTAAATCACTGGAAGTATATGGGAAAATTGAGTTGAAAATCTGCTTTAGTACGAGAAATCACGTTCAAAGTGGATCATATAAATTATGAGCATGATCCACATCAGCTCCGAACATCTTAGATATTTTCAGTTGATAAGATTGGACTCTTATCCATCGCTGAATATTCTTCTCGCATTATTATTTTTGATTGCAATGAATTTCGTAAGAGACTAATGTGTGTGTGTGTGTGTGTGTGTGTGTGTGTGTGTGTGTGTGTGTGTGTGTAAAGTAACATATTCGCAAATTTTAATGCAGGCACGCAATTTTATGCATGACATATACATCTCGTTAGACTTTTATTACCAGGCTAATGAAAGTACAACACAACACCGTTATAAATTCTTGTGCCGATCGCTGAAGCAATAATTAGGCTGGAGCTTGCTAGCAATCTAAATTTTACACGTGGGAGTTTGAGCTCAAGCAAGATCAACACAACGTGGAGTGCAGATCGTGTTTGCGTTACATGAGTGCAGTTTAACCGCTGCTTCGCCATCGGTGGCGATAAGGTGGAAACAGCCATGAGAAAAACGCTCTCTCTTTTGAGAAAAAATAAATAAATAAACATAAATAAAGTTATATGATGTTTTTTTACTGCGAATATTTGTATAATTATATCATCCTAATAAAGGACAAGTTAAACAAAATGCAAAGTGAAATATACAAATTTTCTATTGCGGAGCATTCGTACATTTAAATCGTCCAAGTCTCGAATATTAAATTTCATGGATTGCACTATTCGTTGATTCTTTCTCTCTCTCTCTCTCTCTCTCTCTCTCGGAATAGAAAATTTTCAATATTTGATTATACTCTGAATCATATTTTTTTTCCACAGCTCGAGTATTTTTATATAATTTCGAAGTAGGATAACGCTTTAATAACTATTAGCTATTGCCATTACTTTCCCAAAGGAATTCGAGTTAGTTGTCTGTAAAAACTTGAATTATCTAAAATCGATCGCACTGTTACACGTGCAACACACATATGCACAACAAACGTGCCGGGTTTGAATCGATAAAGTGGTTATATCGAGCACGTGCTGCACGCAAACCGACGCGGATTCGCAGAGCGTGTCTCGATTCGGTTTCAGAGTTCGCGCAATTACGATCGGAGTGTGTGCCATTATTAGAACGACATTAGCGGTCGTCGGCATGTGTCTTGTGATCAAAAGGGATAATGACAGGAGCGTGCGAATTAACGCATCGCACTCCCATCGATCGTGGATTTAATTAAAGGATGCGAAGTTAGGCGTCGCATATTTCCACCATGGTCGCACGCGCGCCATGTGCAGCCGCATCCGTTGTGGGATTTGCATGAATAATCTGTGACGAGTCGCCGAAGTAAGCCTAACAGACGACCGTGGATTGTATGCACGCCGCGGGATGTCGGGAACGTAATGCAATTAAATGGATACGGCGCAGCGCGGCGGTGGAGTGTCGCGGCTGCGTAACGACGTTCCTGTAACTTTTAGAACTTTCGTTGCTATGGGCACGTTACGGAAAGCGTTTCAGTAATACCGGGCTAAAAGAGATGTCACTGTCGCAAAGCACGTACTATGTAAAAAAAGGGGAAAAATAAATTTATGCAATCTAGAAGAAATTAAAAAACCATGACAATATTGTAGACATTTTTCAATTTTTAGCGAGAACATCGTGGTGTTTTTATGTAAATTTTTAAAAGGGAGATTTCTCCTATTTAAAGAAAAGTGCTTATTCACAAAATTAATACTAAATATTACAAATTATGTTCTATTATAATAATTCTGTTTTGTATTAAAGATACATTTTTTTATTACTATTATACATATAGAAAGGACGATTTTTCTTTTGTGAATTTCCACATGAAATCTTTGAGTCGTTACTTGTTCTTTTGCTTTATTGTTTGAAACATATGTGCGTCTACCAGTTTGCGGCAACCGTAGCTGCCTCGTCAGCTAGTGGATTTGCATGAACAGCCTGCTAGGAATCGTTGGAGTTAGATGAATACACGGCTTACGTCATACATATATCGTAAAACGTCAGTTGGTGCAACCACAGTGATTCGTTTGTTGCCAACGGGATAAAATCTTATTCGAATTTCTCCTCTGCTTTCGAAGTTGAGTGATTCAGAAAGAGGAGTGCTAATCTAAAATCAATTTTGACAAGGAGCAAATTTAATTGAGTTTACAAAATTATTATTAGTAGACAAAATTTTATTCGTCGAAATGAAACAAACTAAATAAAATATTAATTAATTAATATTTTAACATTTGTATTTTTTTAATTAATTTATAATGTATTTAATTTTTCAATTGTAATATTTTTCTCTCCATAGATGAAATATTTTATCATATTGAATACCGAAACAATTTTTACACACATATAAATTAGTGATTTCTATATAAAGAGTATAATTTGAGAAATGGCAATTAGGAACATGTCAATCACGAATTGCAGTAAAAGCCGAAATTAAATCTAGATCATGTGAATATGCAAACAAAGCAAATATACCCCCTCTACCTTTATGTAGAAAAATAAACAGTTTGCTGCAAATTAATTGCGGTCAATTTCGCTATTAAATTAAATATAATACAGTATACGAACAATAAACGTTACCTTTGAATTATTACACGAATACAGAACGAGATAATAAAACATATTAAATCATATTTTGTAGCAATTTAATTGTCAACCATTCTCATTGTCAATATAGCAACGCTATTTCGAATTTAGCTTTCGTCGACGTTTGCACTATCATTTGATAGGATCTGGTTCAAGTTTCTAACACGACCTATATAGAATAGTTCTCCACTCCGCAAATTACTCCCAATGGTGACGGTGATAACATTTGCGGATATTCTATATGCTGTCGTGGATGTTACATATGTTATTAACCACATTACTATCTTAATTAAATGAACTAAATTTGCCTATAGAATATTTAAAGCTCTAAACGCTTTGAGTATGAAATATGTCGATCAAAAATATTTCGTTAAACTATATATCAGAAAATCTTATATACGATACAATGATAGAAAAAGGCCAAGTATGATATTTGTAATCTATCTATGAAACAGTAAAAAAAATACAAGAAAAATAAAATTAAGAAATAAACAAAATAATGAGAAAAAAGAGAGAAAAGAGACAGAATTATCTTACTCTTATTAAAAATAGAATTTTTTTCTCTCATTGCAAGTGAGAAAATTAATAAGAATTATGGTTGCACAAGAAATATTTTTAAATTTATTTATTCATAATAAATATAAGAGGCGTTATAATTAATGCATCGACAAATTAAAAAAGATATTCTTGATAAGACTCGAGGTATAATTATATTGATTCAGCGCAGATTAGTTTTGCTCTATTACACTAATTAACAAAGTATAAACGATTTTATAATAAAATAACCACGAAACTTAATAAGAACGATGAGAGGCATCAACAAACTTACGCTAGATTAATTTTTATTACAAGCGACGTGCACTTCCGGTATAATCGCAGCAAATTAAAATTAGTGCTTACATTGTTGTGTTGAATTGTGTGTGATAGTGTTGAAATAATTATATAATTTTTTAAACTGTTAAATAATAATTTATTTTAACTCTTAATAATAATTTATTTTCAAATATATGTATATATACACACGCACGCACACACACACGCGCGCACGCACACACACACACACACACACACACACACACACACACACACAGAGTTGGCAAAATTGACTACAATTACTATCATAAAAATAAAATTACTATAAATTATAAAAATGAAATATAAAAGTTATATCTTGTTAACTCAACCATGATTATTTTTCTGTATACAAGTGCCGAAACGGAGAAGTTAAATAGCGTACTATATTGTTATCTCAAGTTCTGCAAGTAATTGAGTTAAATCCGTTTCTCCGACGAGCTAAGAATCTCCAATCGGAACCGCAGAACCCGAGAATATTCTCCTATTAATTCGAGAGCGCCGATGCGTGCAATTAGGGATGTAAGCGAGACGTGATATCCTCCCCCAAAGTAAGGCATGCCTACTTCGAGGTTAACCGATTTCCACTCCGACGTTCCACCGTTTAACGGCACGCGTTCTCAACCACGAAATTCTCGGCATGATCTAGGATTCCAATTTCTCGACGTACCAACGCATGTGGTCCTTCATGGACTCGGCGAAGCCGTCGGTATTTACGGGGAGCAACGGTGAGGGTGTGGATCGAGTGATCTCAGGAAAAGGCAGCTATGCATTCCTGATGGAATCCACCTCCATCGAATACGTAATCGAAAGGAAGTGCGACCTTACTCAAGTCGGCGGTCTCTTGGACTCTAAGGGATACGGCATAGCCATGCCGCCAAGTAAGTGTTAATAGAAACGCTTTTATACATGTGTACTACATGCCACAGAAGGAATAAAAATTGTCACAGAAGCAATAAAAATTCATGCGATCCATACAAACACGCTGTTAAATGAAAATCGTACAAACAAAAAGAAGTTCGATAATTAAAATGTGAAGGAAAAGATAAGTGAATGGGAAACATTAATATGAATTTCTTGAAATAATTTTTGTATCTCTAATAAATCAGTCTGTAAAAACTTATTAAATATTTTATTTTTATTATTTGAATATTCTAATTATATATATGTATACATTTAACACTTCAATTCATCACGAAGTAATTTAATATATCGTTGGTTTGTGTTGGTCGAAAACGAAATATGTTATAATATGTATGTACCTCAATAGTTGTAGATTTCAAAACTATGCTATTCAATGCAAATGCTACAGTGCTAATTAACTTTTTTGCTACATCTCAACAATTCAAACACTCCGCAATATAAACACCTGGTGAATCAAGATTTTATAATAATAATCGATGAATGTGCAATATGTGGTTGTAGTATTAATCAGCATACAATAGTATTAAACAGCATACAAAGGAGCATTAAAATTCACAATTATTAAGAGATGTATCATTATGTTAGTTACGTTGAATCTAATGTAAACGAACGATAATATATACTTCGTATTAAATATTAATATTAGTTGATGTATTAAATATCAGCTTTTTCTGTGTTCTAATAAATATTATTATTCCATTTCATTTAATTCATTCTGTGATTTTAGGTTATGTAATAAGTAAGATTATGTTCTCTTTTTCTCGCTTGGATATTATTATGGAAGTTTAAAATTATATGCACAACTTCAATAATTTAACAAAAGAAAAGATAATTTTATTTATTAATTTCCAACGTTACGATATCTCAATAATTTCTATTAATGAAAAGCGAATCTAGAACATTCAAAAGAAAAAGTGTCTTCAATCAATATATTACAGTATAAAGTGCTTATATCGGCCTATCTACTCTCTCGAATAAAAGAAATTCTCATTCAATTAAAACTTCTTCTTCACGCAAATGAAATTCTGATAGAAAGAAAATGCAAATCGTTCCCTCCTTGCATCGAGAGATTCGCACGAGCTAGTTGGTTTATCTGCCACACTTATTCCGAGAGATCGAATAAAATCGCATTGCCGGTCTCCTTGCTGATCTCGCGGCTGCGCGAAAATACCGGTCGATAGCAAGTGTCGCCATGAAGGAAGCGATCGCGCACGATATTGCCGGCAAAACGTTGGCGCGAGGGAACGATTGCCACAACGGTACTTCCGAAAGTTGCGCGAAAGTACGACACTATGAGGCGATAAAAGTAGCCTAGGAGGAGTTTCTCAAAACGACCTTGGAACTTCAGATTCGCCATATAGAACAGCCATAAGCGAAGCTATTCTGAAGCTGCAGGAGGAAGGGAAACTTCATATGCTGAAAACGCGCTGGTGGAAGGAGAAGCGAGGCGGTGGATCTTGCAGGGTGAGTAAATATGTATTTTAAGGCGAATTTATACGGTTTACTTGTAATCTCAGAATGTGCGAGTCTTAAATATAAATAAATAGATAAAATTTTAGAAAATTTATATAAAAACAATATTACCTACAAAAAACTTTAACTCAGGATATTACAGAAAAAAGTTAATTTGAAGGAATCTGGAAAAAAAGATTTGATAGAAAATGGAGCAGATCTCTTTGTATACGAAATAAATATGGAAAAAGAAATTGATAATCTTACTTTAACAATATTCTCGTAAAAATGATTGAAATAGATACAAGATACCTATTAAAAACACAAAAACAATTTTAATTACAATAATCTTTTATTTTTTATAGTAATCAATGAACAAAAGTTTATTGATCTTCATACTTTTACATTGAATTCCTGTCTATTTTAATTAATGGCTTTTTTTATTGTAATTTCTTTATCCATTTTAACATAGCTTGTAAAAGAAAACCGTGTGTGAATTTGCTTTTAATCCATCATCATTTCCCACTTTTCTCATGAAGGATATTCTGGCACGCTAGCACACTCAAGAAGTGCGCGCTCGAAATTCTTGTGCCAGACTCCAGCAACTCCCCTCATCCGTCAGAGAAGAGCGGAGTTGCTGGAGGTTGAGGCGGCACGCGAGGAAGACTATTTCGCGAATTCACGAAATCGGGGTTTCACCAAGCTCGCGATTATCGTTGCGCGTACTGCTATTTCTCGCGCAGCTACGCCGATAAATTCTTCCGATAATTCACCGGCTTCTCCTTACTCGAGCAAACTTACCGCAGTTTGATGGACGAACATTAAATTGATGATTATAACGAATTAATTCCTCGATGTTAATCTCCTTTACAACTGTTACAAAACACTGAAGATCTATGACATTTAAGCTGTGTTTTTAAAATTACAATTAATGTTAATCTAAAAAAAAAAGAGTATTAATACTAAAAAAAATTTATATTTCTAATATATTAATATAAATCTTTTCGGTGTAAAGTATTGATAAAGGATTGAACACTTTAAAACTGCGACATATCGATTAAAAGATTTAATAATCAATATCAATTATTAACGAAACAAAAGAAAAAAAATTCCTTGACTTTTTCTGATTTTTTTAAGAAAATTCCATGATTTTTTCCGATCTTCCTGACTATATTTTAATTCTCTAATTTGTTCTCGATTTTTCTTAACCGCTAACAATCCTGAATATGCCATTTACTCTCCTCTCAACACTTTAATCCATCAGCCCAAGTGCGAGTAAGCACGATCAAATTTTCGCAATATTATCCACGACGCGCATCCTCTGCGAACTGCTTCAATAATGAACACCCAAGCGCGAAAGCCGCGTGTGCATTAACGACGTGCACAACAGACTAAACGCGAAAACCACCGTTTCCCCAGCGGCGCATTACCCATGCAGCAGACTATATTCTACTTGTAACCGTCCGCGTTAATGCGCCACAGGCTAATCGATGTTTCTCTCATGGTTAGGACGACACCTCGAAGAGCAGCTCGGCGGCGAACGAGCTTGGTCTGGCGAACGTCGGCGGAGTCTTCGTAGTGCTGATGGGCGGCATGGGTGTTGCCTGCGTGATCGCAGTTTGCGAATTTGTGTGGAAGAGCCGGAAAGTAGCCATCGAGGAGCGGGTGAGTGACGCGAAATAACACATAGAGGAAGATCGCGCGGTAACCACGCCGGAAATCACCGCCTCAGGATCCGCCACTATACGACTTGATCTTGACGCGATCTATCCCGACATACCGCGCGAGTACATCAGTTGATGTTCGCACGATGGTGGAGTTCCTCTCTAATGGTCTCGATACAGAACCACTCGGGTCTGATCGCTCGCACGGCTCGAGACCCTCAACGATCTACGTATTGTTGGCGAGGATGAATAATTATAGCTTTCACACGTACATAATTTCCCTCATTTTTCTACCACTATCGTTACCGCCGTACATCGTTTCTTCCATTCGTCATTATCCTCATTGTCTTGCTATATACGCGAATATCGTCGTTAGTCGGGCAGACAAGACGTTCGTCCTCACTCATTACTGAGGACATATCGCTTCGAATCTCTATTGCTCTATGCTAAAGAAATGCCCAGAGTATTTGTGACTTGTAACTCGAAATCCAAACAGTTCAAACTTTTGAAAAAAACATAGCAAGAAAAATTACTAGAAATTTATTTCGTGGAATTAATTATTAACGTTTGAAAGAATTTAATCTTTAAATAATTGTCGCACGTTTTTTTAAATTAATTTCCATTTCTTCTAAATTAATTTTCATAAATTTTGAATTTTAAACGATTCAAACTTATATTTTTAAATATATTTTGTTCCTATTATTTTAATGTTAAAAAATTATGTCGGTTGTTTTAATTTTGAGAGCTTTATTAGGATACACAAATGAACAGATAGTCATGTTTAACGAAAGCGTCGTGATTACCGCAGAGAGACGCGGCCATAGAAACGCAGTAAACTTGATGAAAAAATTTCCAGCGAAATTCGCTTTGGTCGAGAGCGAGAAAATGGAATTAACGTATGCAAAATCTCAGTGCCGCGCACTCACGATGACCGGCACGCGGTTTAAGCAACATGTATTCGTGCCAACGTTTACATATATTCAAAGGAAGAAGCAAACAGGCAACTATTTGAGGAGGACTCGTCGAGGAATACGAATATGCTTTGCGCGGATCATTCCCTGTACGCTAAAGTAAACAGTTCTATGAGCTTACGGACGTCGGTATTACTCTATCTCCTTTCAAACCGCGTTACACTCCTATAGAGAGGCACGATGAAGGCAAAAATTCCTTCTACAAAAATTCAAATCGGTTGAAATCGATCATATCGATCGACTCGAAGCTCGAGATCCTGCGATGAATAGTACGACTTTCGAACAGATCGGATGGTATACTTGAATTTTTATGATATGTAAGATTTTTTTACGATACGTAGGATCGTTTCATATCGTCATCACGATTGCTATTACAATACTGAATACAATATAATATATACAGACGATATATCGAAAAGATAAAAAAAGTCATGAATAAATAATTATACAATAAAATACAATAAATGTATTAATTATTATTTTATTTTTATTATATATGAAATCGATCTATTTTCCATCGTGAAAGAATAATTAATCACAATGCTCATATAAAAAATTACGATAACAAACGATACGATAAACAAATTCAATATGCTTATATTATTAAAAAAATAACGAGAAAGCATGAATAGAATAAAAATTTTGCTTTCGTAAGCATCGATAGCGCACATTTTTTCCCGCTTTGATTATTGTAACAATGACTGAATATAACGAATCTGATTCGGGCATTTTGGTGTTCTGTTTTAGAAGCAGAAATCGTCGGGGAAATCGATCTGCGAAGGTTTTACTGATCTGCACTAGCGACGGTACGCGCTGCACTGCGAAAAAAACAGATTCTTAAACTCAAGCCGTACCTCAAAACGTATCCGATCCGAGTTCAGTGGACCTAAGGAAGAACTCCATCACGAGAGATCGGAAAACTGTATAAAGATCATAAAATTATAGGAATAAACGAAGATAATCGGACAAAACAAGCAACAAACTTTGATCTTTCCAATTTTCTTCATAAAATTTTGTCAAATACTGACAATTTAATTTAATAAAATAGTTTGGGAAGTACAGAACTATTTCTCTTTAAATTAAACGCAAGAATATAATTTGTTCAACATTTTAAAAGTTTGATTAATCAAGTTGTCTCTAAAATTATATAGAATATCCTAAATTCATAATTAAAAAAAAAAGTTCTCGAAAAATTAAATAAAAAAGATATATAAATTTTTATTTCAAGTTATAATGTTCCAGATATATATATACTTTAAATCTAACTACCACAAATTATGTTTAGTTGATCACCTGTCATACAGTCACTAATACTATCGCACGCAAAATTCATAGATTCACAATTAGTGGCTGTTTAAATCTAATCTGTGACGACTAAATTTAAACTCCAATATCTTAAAAATTACTAATTTATAAATAATTTTTTATTTAATTTTTCAAAAATTTTCTTTCTTTTTTTCTTGTTTTGGCATCAAATTCTTGTTTCTATTCATGGCGACCAGACTATTGAAATTCAATTAATGGCAGTACAAATTTTTCAATAAAAAAACGTATGATTGTTGCAATATACGTAATAAATAATCAGAATAAAAAAATGACATAAATGAAAGATTGGAAAGGTCAATGGTAATTGCCATTTGCTCATATCAAAACTTAGATTACACGAAGACTTTAAACCTCGCAATAGGAAAGGCTATGTCCTTCCTCGCGAAGTCGCAAATGTTTCAATCGACATTAAAATACTTTAAAATCAAGACAAGAACCGCGGTGTTCACAATTTAGTAGTGCTGCGGACGAACTTTTAAGAACAATCACGATTTTATACCGGCTAGATAGTGAATGTATAGTATACCAGATTATGAGACATTTTACTGTAAATAATATATAATTGTCGAAGTAATCAATATGCGATCGTAAGTGTGCGTGGAAGTCCGTACGCTTCTCGAGTTGATAATGTTGACATAAGTAATAATCCGAAAGAGCAAGTGGATATACTGGAAACTTACCGTATTCTTATCAAAATTGGAATATTTAACAATTT